GTAGTACAGAGTGCTACAAATAATGTCCCTATACAGGTAGTACAGAGTGCTACAGATAATGCCCCTATACGGGTAGTACAGAGTGCTACAAATAATGTCCACATCTTACTGTTGCGACGTGTTTTTAAATGAGCATGTCGTTCATGCTGATGGAGCCACTCTATTAGACTTGCAGCGACAGCGGATCATGACATCAACAAAAGCCGTCCTGACGTTGTTGCTCACTGCCAAGCACACAATGGGATTCCAAAGTCCACGACCAAAGAACAGGAAGAGGAATGCGAGATCCACCTTGAAATTGACCTTTGACCAATGTTCATTCCATTTTAAGTTCATGATTGTCAAGGCAAGCCATAGGACCTCAAAGATTCCCAACTGTATGGCAGTGATGAGGATGACATCTTGCTGAGGAGCGGGATTGTTCTGAGCAGGTTGGTTTGCTCTACCTGTATGAGATAGTAATGCACATGCAGCTTTAGGTAATGTTTGAAGAAGAAAGCGATCAGAATTATACCGAGAAAGTTAACGTAATCGAGAAAACGGAATGCTAGCTTAATGAATACCTTTTTTTGTGAAGACGATGGCAAGAATAGTAAATCCAAAGGCTGGTCCCAGGGTCAGGAAAACAGAGATGATGTTGTAACTCAAATCTACATCGCTATTCGTCGTCCATTTTATCCAGCATGTGGACTCGAACTGATCATACGTTCCCCATCCACCTTTATGGTTAAGAGGAGCAGTTGCCAACAGCCCACCTACGGCCCAGACTGCAAGAAGGATTATCCTCGTCACTATAGCGTTGACAAAGATCTTGCCATGCAAATTCGGAGAAAAGTGTAGTAGAAACTGGCTGAATGAGATAACAGCGATATTCAGCAGGAAGGCGTTGTACATAAAGGTATGCAAGAATCCTACAGATCGGCACACAAAGTCAACTATGATACCCAAAGAATCGGTGAGCAGGGCCAATGCCCAAATGAATCCAGGTGTTATGGCAGTGAAAAGATCCAGCACGAAGATGTTTTGAAGCAACAAATAAGAAATGGAAGACCGTAGACGCTGGTGAAATACGGTAATCATGATGCAGGCTATGATGATGATCAAACCATTCATAGCAACTGATGTATAAAACTGTATCATTATTGCATCAGCTTGTTGTGCGGGACGAAATGGAGCTTGCTTTGCCGGTGCGGACGTAGTATTAGTGCTTGTCTGATTTCCCATGATGACTACGAGCAAACCTAGCAACGAAAGGAGCGAGTATCACAATGAGAAAAGTATCTTATTTTACTAACAGATATATTAAACAAAAATATGTCAAATAATAGTTTACTGTGCACGATGTCGATCGGAATCTTCGTGCTCTGGCAACTGACTATCAAAAACTGCACCGATATCGTAACTGAATAATAATACACAACTCACACTTTACATTTAATCTGATAGGCTACACGAAATACAATTATGAAAGAACAGTTCGATTCCAACGTGTAAACGAATGGCAAAAGCCACACCTGCTGATGTATATGGAGAAAGCAGATGGCCATGGTACTGTGAAAAATCAATTACTTCCGAAGACCGACATGAGGTCCATGCAGCCAGCAATGTTATGATGAATTATAGTTTCAAGTTTATTCAAATAAAGTAAATGTACATTGCAAATCAGCATACACCACTGACCCGCAAATAGCAAAAAATAATCGAGGCAAATTATTGTTCAGAGGACCACTCAAAGAAAGTTCGATGACCTTTTCTTCATTTTTGTTCTTAGGGTTTTAATTTGAATGAATTTTTTTGATGGAAATATTGGTTCTATATGAGTTTCATAACTGTGAAGACTTTTAGATTTTAGAAGAATTTTAGTGACGTCTGAAGTACCTTTGATTTAAAGTAAATAAAGTGTCAAACGAGTTTGACGGAGAAAGCCAGTACCGGCCGGTATAAAGATTCAAATTAGGTTTTTCGTTTTCTCTATTTAGTTTTTAATTGCAATCATTGGCGGTAGTATGCTATGATTCCTTTAGCGATACTTCGATTCATATTTCATCGTTGGTTTCAAATACATAAGGTCTATATACGACTGAACATATTTAACAGTTTCAGTTTCACATTTTGTTTCTCGGTTTTGTTTATACTTAGTTCAGTTTATTAAACATTAGTGCAAATGTCTAACCCAAATAAATACAAATGCACATTTAGTTAGTAGATTTTAATCTTACTACTTAAAAGTTTTATCTTTTTTTAAAGTGCAAATGAACTCTTTGACAATACATTCAGTACTGGTTCTGCATAAAGTAAATAGTTGTTTGGTAAAATATTTCTTGATTTGAGTGATGCGTCTCTAAGTTATGAAGGTATTTAAGTGTTTTAGTTGTAACTAGTAATACTAAATGCTGGCCATTTTGAAAATACAAATTCTAAATAGCTTTCATGTAAACCATGAGTAAAATAATGATGATTTTAAAATACTGTATCTATTAACGATGTCACAGTCCTTAGCATATTGGAAGTATAAACCGTCATGTTAGAAACGCATCACTCAAATCAAGAAATATTTTATCATTCAACTATTTACTTCATGTGGAATCAGTACTGAAAGTATTGTCGAAGGGTTCATTTGCACTTTAACAAGAAAAACAAAGGTATAAAAGTTACGACGTTTCGGCTTTAAACTTAACGTCATTATCAAATAAAGATAAGATTTTTCAAAAAGTTCCCTCTCTTTAAGTGTCTCTATGAACTTGTGAGGTTCTTATCAGTCACGGTAGTCTATTTTAAGTGTAACATTTTTCTTAGCTTATACTACTTAAAAAATTGAATAAATTCTATGTCTAGAAAACGAAAGCCACTTGAAAATCATTTGTGGTTACAAATCTCAAACTTATTTGTTAATAAACTATTATTTATTATTATTTGTTGTTAAAGTCATAGTATGTGCACTAACTATTTGATAGATTTTATATGTATATATACTATATATCATGGTACTCACCTCGAGAGAGAGATATTCCAGCCACAAGACTGTCTTCTTCGCGCGAGAGAGAATTAAGTAGATATCAAATGCTTACTGGGTCTTATAACCAGCAAGAAGTGTTTAGTGACAGTTGCTTGGATATACTTACACACATGACAGCATGTGATATGGACTCTGGTTTAGTACCTCTGCATGATCAAAGCAATGTATTATTTATTTTCATTAGTTAAAGTTTTAATTAAAATATGTCCCTAGCACTTTCTTTGGTCCTCCCATCTCATGTGACGATTTCTTTCGCAATACATGGTAATATGTAAACTCATCTCTGTTGAATTATCATATGACCCGTATCTGCCCGGGCGCGCGCTCTTAGAAAGACCTTCGGGAAAATGGCGTGAGCAGGGCCGTACGAATCCGTACGGCCCTTCTCGAATCCGCGCGCTTTCTTTTTTTAAAACTATTTTTCTTTTCGTGAGGGTCATATGATAAAATGCTTATTGACTGAGTTAGGTCGGGTCGTACGGGAAAATATCGCTGTGCTCGGTCCGTACGTCATCACCTCGAGCCAAATATTTTCCCGTACGGCCCTCCCACTCAGTCAATAAGTACATATTGCGCATAGAATCTTTATTATCCCTAAAGCAGATTTAGGGGGGGTTACACACAATCCTCTCTTCTCTCCCCCCCCCCCCCCCCCCCCCCCCCCCCAAACAACAGTGTTAAAACAAAATCAAAGTAGAATAATGTAATGACAGTTTCAAGGGCGTGGTTTTATGCCTTATTTTACAAATCAATAAAAAGCGCACCAATTTACTTTGCATCCAGCAAATTTGCAATATTTTTATTTCTACTTTACACCTACGTAAATTCTTGTTTTAGCATAATCATAGCCAATTCACTGAATAGTAGGGCAGCTGATCAGTTCATATTATCGTACTGACAGCACGATGGGACAGGGAACATCTGCCATGTACGCTTTATGGAAATTAAACTGCCTTGTAGTACATGATTTCTACTCCGCTAGATATCAGGAGCGAATTTTATAAAAAGATGCAAAAAGATATACAGTTAAAGTAAAAAGTCAGGAATAGATACAATAAAAAAAATCACTAAATGGATATTCTTTAGTTACTAGAGTAGTTACTGAGTGGAACCAAGAAGCAGCTATACAGGCCAAGATGGATGGTCGTCAAATCTCTATAGCAACGCTATATATGTGTACATAAAAACAAAACTTAAAAAGTTCAGATGTTACTGATGAAGATCTAGAAATCCAATGAGTAAGTGCAATAACAAGCAGTTATTGTACGAGGTTCAGCAAAATATCGTGATTTGTTATTGGCAAACGAATTGAATTATTTGCCGATGCCAGAAGTTCATAGCTAACATAGACATAGTTATGGACTATTGCCGATGCCGAGGTAAAATAATTGCTTGCAAGACACTAACAAATTATCGATATTTTGTGATAATCTACTTCAATAATTGTTTTATCATTCGAGTTATTTTTTTTCAAGTTTCCTCTGTGTGCTTTGGCTGTTTTTGCTGGCTATCGAACATACCAAGTCATTGGGAAGCAAGCCATGATGACAAATGCAAGGTTACTGCGCAGGAGCAAAATATAGTGTCACTATTATTTGCAGCAAACGGCTTTGCACGGTAATGCGCATGAGCAGGTAGAATATATTTTGTAGGCAGTTATCTCGGCCAATCAAAACGACGGAAAAAGTAATTTGATTGATAATTATATTTATCCTAAAAATCATGCGTTCTGATTGGCTATTTGCGTGGGCGGTATTATCTCCAGCAGTATCGGTCCAGATGATCCAGACGTCATGTGTACGCGGGCATGGGATAACGGGGAAAATAAATGTTATTTACAGTCTTAAAGTCGGTGCCCTCGGTCTTGTGCTGCCTCTAAAAAAGTCTTTAAGTGTGGCTGCTTGTTTAATCAAAATTCTTACGACTTTCCGATTTCAGCAAAAATCATGTAACGCGTCCGTTACCGACCTTTAAAATTTCGTTTCTGATTACAGTTACATGCACTATTAAGATAATTATTATATACGAACATGATTATCGTACTATTTCAAAAATAATGCTTTAGATGTGGCAAGTTCTTTTTTGACCGAATCGAAGCCATCATCGAATCGAAGGTGGATCAGAACGCTTACAGCTTCAGTCTCTTAACCCACTGAAGTTGGAGCCAAAGCATTTGGGGGCTTTTCACAGTGTAATGTTGACGTCTGGGCCGTTGCTCTACTTTGCGCAAAGATATTGGATGTGGAACCCTCATCAGTGGCGAACGATAAACGACATTTAAATACAGATAAGAATGCTCGTCTGAACTGAGGATTGAGTATTCCGTATATGATCGGATTACCGCAACTACTGGTGAACATCAGAAATATCACGGATGCAAAGACAAACCTTGGTGGTCTACCGCCTACAGTTTCATAGACAACAACAAGAGAAACAGGCATCCATGTTGCCAAGAAGAAGCAAACGACTGCAAAAGTGGATTTCAAGAGCTTGATGTCTGTCGCATGAGATGCATTATTCTGAAGATGGGCCGCGACATTCGTCGAGCTTGACTTGACTGTCTTGTAGATTTTGTAATAGCAATAGAATATCACCACCGTTGTACCATTGATGACTCCCAGGATTATAGTAAGGACATAAGACAAATGCTGTTTATCCCAGATTAGAGTGCACAAAGCGAACTTGTCGTGATATCTCATGACTCCCCACCCGTACAAGGGTGGTGTAGCAAGCAGAGCAGCTGCCATCCACACCAACAAGCAATAAAATACAGCAGAACGACGGCTTTTGAAATACTTTGCATAAGAATTGCTCTTGACGACCTTGAAGAAACGATTGACTGCGATGAGTCCCATTGTAAGAATGGAACAAATCCCGAAGGTAAACTGCATGGCTGCAGCCCAAGGACAGAATGTTTGGCCGGCAACCCATCTTCCAGTGATGATAGAACCAACCCAGAATGGCATATGAAGGAAGGCCATACACACATCCGTCCATGCCAGACTTTCAATAAACACATTTGTAATCGTTCGTAAACGAGAATCTTTGCGAACCACGTAGATGACAAGAGCATTACCTAGGAGAGAGGCTGTAGTAATAGCTAAGGCGAAGATCGTTTCTATGGCAACAAGAGCGACTGCTCGGCCTAAAGGATCTTCATTATGTAGACCAGTACTCTTGTGATTCGAGAGGTTCGATACGTTGGTTAGCGATCCCATTTGGAACTAGATTTCAGAAAAAAAGTTTAAATATAAAGGAAATATTGATAGGTTTATTTTCTATACATGTACTAGTTCTTTTTAATGTCCAGCTCCGAGCGACAGAGAGATATATTATATATGTTGCTTTAAAATATACCCGTCTTTAAAGTTGGTGGGAAAGGAGGAGGGAGTCGATCGTCTTGGTTTTCTTTGTCTTCTACGCCTTTTGCTGCTCATATATCTCTCTGAACAAGGCGGTAAACGCGCGCTGCATGTATGAAAAACTGCCTTCAACTATCAAAACGACTTACAAACGTCAAAGTCGAGAGTTTTTTTGTCATAAAATTAGCCGGCGATTTTTCGTCTTTCTCATTCGAGTTTGTTCGTATCAACGGGTAAAACTGAACAAAATAAAACTCTTACCCCTTGTATGCCCTACGCTTGCTTTTAGTTCCTTATCCGTCCACGGCTTCGTTAATCCAGTCAGTGATCTATTCTTTTCCGCACTTGACTGAAGGCGTTTAAAAAGTTCAGCTCGCTTGTTTGCTTGGTTTATTTGGCTACTGTTCCAGCCTGTGCGTCATTCAATCTGTATATGGGTTTTGTCCTAATGTAAACACAGTCGACAATTCAATATCCACTGATGTCCGTTAACCAAATGAACAAAGGCTATAATCATCTGAATTTCCTTTTTTATTGGTTAAATTCTTTCTAGTGTGTTCGCCGGTCTAAATTTCATCATTTTCAGTTTCATCAAAGCCGCAATACTGCACAAAAACAAGCTGCCTTACGCCAATAAAGCTGTGACAATTTCCATTGAACTGAACAAACAAATAAAATGCAAAGTCCGTCAACTCATCAGTAACGATTAAACCCCGGATATTTTGTTTTTCGATATCAAATGTTTTATTATAAATAATGGATAAATGTATTCTACTTTGAACATGCATGTGTATTTGTTGCCTCTAGGCTATAATATTCCTCTTGCCGAAACAACGTTATATTGTGTAATTCCCATAATTAATTCTTGTTAGTAAAGCCAAGCCCCTCGGCAGTTGTACGATCAGTTCCGTTCAGAATTACCTTACGACAATTGATCAAATAAAACTGCATGACTTATTGTCAGTAAATACTTACGAATAGTTAAAAAACTGTGCAAGGATTGAAATAATGGTACTCAGTCTAAATAACGATTATAATCCGATAACTCGATCACAAATCCATTTTGTGTTCCACTTTTATTAAATCTGCGTGTTAGTCGAAGTCTACGGTATCTCCAGTAAATATGTACTTATCATATTGAATTACGCATACAGATGTAGCCCAAACCACCAATTATTGATTAGAGATTATTGTTATTATTAATTATTGATTAAAGACTATATATTTCTGTTATTCAAAAAATTAAAAAAATAATAATAATAAAAAAAAAAAAAAAACGATGATTACAAACGTGAATGAATTAAGTGTGTTGTGGTTATCAAAGTAGTAAGTTTAAAGTCTAAACTATCGATAAGAGTAAATGGTTTGAACCACGTGTTGAAGCTTGTTGTGAAATGTGATCGTCCGTGTGAAACTATTGAGTTAACCACCACTAACAATCAGAAACAACAACAAAAAAATTTCAGTGAAGAAGTTTGAAGTCAATTTTCACCACCTTTTGGTGATGATCGATGCCATCATTTTCAGGAACTCTAAACTCTGAATGGTGGAAATTTACGAAAAAAGCAGATATAAAGATTTTCTGATAATTTGATTGTTATACCCGCCCAGCAAACATTATGGAGAATGTGAACGTGGTGTACAATAGACATTTAAGGAATGATTTTACTTGACTTCAGTAGACTGAGTATAATACCCTCATCATAACAAAACGGATTCTAATTAAACATGCTGTAATGAAAATTAAGGCCGGCTTACGATTAATGGTTTTTGATATAGATAGTAATCAGACTCAATAAAGTTCAAGTGAGTCTACTAAATGTATTGTGGAGTGAGCTCCTTGTCAGTGGAAACTATATGAGAAGCTATTATGACTTTTCTTTTAATAATGTTTTTCTTATCCGTCTTCCTGTGTTACGTGTCTAATGTCTTTTAAGCGTCGCTAAAAGCAAATCCATCTCTTGGAATCAGGTAAAATGATGTCGGAAGTAGTCATCACAAAGCGGTACAACAATACTTTTGTAAACTCTCAATAATTAATCGGTAAGTCATATTTGACAGAAGATATGTTGTTTTAAAACCAGTTGCAATTATTGATTATATTAAACTGAGTATATAACAAGAGACCTGAAGGCGCTGCTCAGTAATAGAGAGCAGTGGCGGAACTTTGTGCTGGACGACACCCTTCAGTTAACCTTCAGGGAACACGAACACGCCTTCAGTTAGTATCTCACGAGATCCTCTCTAGCCTGCATCCATCCGCGGTTTGAAATGCAAACATCACATTTAGCCCCAAGGAACAGCCAAACTCTGTGCGCATAACTGTGACAGGTAAGTTCAGTTTCTTTTTATATGATAAATAAAATAAGAAAAAGCAAGGGCTGAGTTTAGCTTCACGTTTTTGAGAAAGAAAAGAGAGAGAAAAAGGAAAGCAAAGGAAAGAAAAACACAAATAGAAAATAGAAGTGACGAGAATCCAAAACAGCCTTACACGAAAAGTAAAAGTAATAAGATCGTCTAAGCAGACCTGCACTAGCCATCCTTACTTCATTAAAATAACACGGCTGACAAGGCAAGCCGAAGTATATTCCGTTATGTTAATGTTATCTAGGTGCAAGTGAAGAGCCGACTGTCAAGGGTTTTACTTATGTAAGGTAAACATGGAACATTTTAATATTTAACAAGAACAAATATTAAAAGACAAAACAATCAACCACCATTTATCAGTTCTTAATGCAATCTTCGCCGTAATAACGAAAAATAATCAACTGATCAACGTAACGTATTTAAAGCAATCGATAAGATGGTATAAATCATGCTTTTTTCTTTTGCTGCCAATTTCGCGCAGTCCGCGTTGGCATACCCCCATAAACATAGCCACTAACCACTAACAAAGTGCCCTGCCCTGAGATGATGCATATATCATCAGGACCGTCAGATTGATATTCCAAAAAAATTCTGACTGACTTCTTTATTTATATCGCGCATTTTCCAATGTGCCCAAATGTGCCTGTCAGATGGAACTCTACAATATAAAAAATGATATATAGCAAATATATAAACATTATATAACTAATATTTGACTAATATATAACTAATATATAACTAATATAGACTAATATATAACTAATACATAAAAGTAATATAACTTATGCCCAGTTTAAACGTCGCATCTCACACGCGTCACATCCAACACAAACAAACTAGAAACAAACTAGAAACAGCCGTTATTTTTATGACTATCTGATCAATACACAATTAAGTCTATTTATCACTGTTATTATTACATCACCCAAATGTGAAGAAAAATAGGAAAACAAAAAGGACTACATTGATCAAGAGACTTAAAGTCCATAAAAACAGCATTAATAGACCTGATTTTGTCATGCAGCATCCCATATTGGGCGAGATGCTGACAGAGGAATTTAAGATAGGTCCAAATTTCATTCTATCAAACTTTTTCGGCGAGACATACTTTTATGCTTACCTTTTATGAACTTTAGAACTCAGACCCATCGGTTTGAAATATGGAGTGGACAACAACCCAAACGTCTGGCGACTCTGCAGACAACAAAGTGTCTTCCCATTATCAACGAACTCGAGTAATCGTAGAGATGATTTTCTGTGCTGTGATCATTTTTACCTCTTTTACTGGAAACGCCCTGGTTGTTTTTGTTGCTTGTAAAGATTCCACACTGCGAACCACCACAAACATCTTTATTCAGAATCTTGCGCTTACAGATATCTCCATGGCGATATTCAACATGCCATTCTGGATGGCAAGTATATATCATGACAACTGGATATTCAGCCAGTTAGTCTGTGAATATCAAGCAGTTACGCTCTTCACCTTTGGATCTGCTTCGATTCTCACTATGGCCTTGATATCCATTAACAGATATTTTAAGATCGTTCATCCACAAATATATCACAATTACTTTGGTTCGAAAGTGATTGTATGCATTTACTGCTTACTATCATGGGTGGTAGGGGTTATTTTTGCTACTCCACCCATCTATGGCTGGGGTAACTATCAATACCATAGGAAATTCATGACTTGTTCTGTGCTTTGGGATCTAAAACATATCTCATTTGTGGCGATATTCCTGGGTGGATTTGTCAATGCAGTCACTATTACGATCTTTGTTTGTTACTACAAGATTTACAGAGAAGTCAAACAAAGTTCAAGGAACGTAGCTGCATACGCAAACAACGTCACTTCAGAAACGGATATCAAAATTCTCAAGTCAACATTCACAGTAGTTTGTGGGTATATCATTTGCTGGATGCCTGTCTCTGTTGTCTGTTTGACAGAGACACTTGGTGGGTTCCTGCCACAGGCTTGTTATGGCGTAGCTATATTTCTGATGTACTCAAGTTGTTGCATCAATCCAATCATTTACGGCATTTTGAATCCTCAGTTCAGGAGAGCTTTCATTCAAGTCTTCAAATGCAAAAGTTTCCATCATGACAACAGCAGCAATCAAGATGAACGCCAGGAAAATGCTTCAGCAACATTGCCGTCACTTGCCATCCGACGCATAGCTTCAGCAAACAAAATCAGTTAAATATTATTATACAAAATCGCGTTTTACCACCAAATAGTAATTATTAGTTATTGCAATTTTGAGCCGCCAATAATTAAGGGTTCATATTGACAGCTCTCTATCTCAAACATATAGATGAATTGCGATACATAAAGGAAATGAACATGGAGTAACGACAACCAAGTATTTTTTACTTGCTGTAACTTGATAATCAACAACTCCAACATAGATCCCAAACTCCATTTATAATCGGCTTCTATTCTAAAGACTGACTCTATGTGAACCATGTATGTTAGAGTATTGCATGTGTGTCATCATGGACATACACTACATCCTCACTGTGTACTGGACAATTCATTTTATTCCTACTACGTTTAAACACTATGGTTTATTATAGTTATTTAAAAAAATACATATTTTATTTTATTTAGACTATATTGTACTATTCATCTAATACTTGTTGTCTATTTAAAACATTAATGGGTTTTGTGTACCATTATACCAATCCCTTTTACATGAAAGGGATTATGAAAAATTCAATTTAAGGCTAAGAATATATTACACCCAATCTCTAAAACTTTGACACATACTATAGCGATATATATACATATATGTTTTGTTGCTATTTTTGTTACAAAATAAACTGTAAACAAGGAACAATTTAGCATCAAACATGCTAAAAAGCCTCATTAAGTATTCTATAACAATTTGATAACAAATTTTGTTCAAAAATGGTTGTTATCCTTCGTATATATGGATATTATATCTCAAATATGTTTAAGTTTTAGGGCTGCTGTGTATATATATACACACACAAATGGTATTACTTGTTCTTAAAGTAGTTTTCTTCCAGATATTTCTTTACTACTGGCCAGATAACATTTGTCTCAGTTCCAGCAAATGACTGTACTTTGCCAAGTATTCTTTAACATGAGAAATGAATAAAGAAATATCACAAAACATATTGGTTGATGATAGAAAATCATGAAATTTTAATGTTTAAAAACATAATAGATGTATTTATTGTGATTACCTGTAATATTCAATCAGAGGCTTGGTTTCTTCTTCATACTTTTTTAATCTTGCTCTCACAGTCTCAGGCTATTAATCCATTAAAAATGCGCACATAAGTTTTACAGCATACCTATATATCATAGCACACCATTAAAGACTACCTTATCATCTTCTCTTTGTGTCAAAGGTTCACCAGTAATGTCATCCTTTCCCTGTAACAGTTCCAATAAGCAATGATGTTGTCACAATTCTTTAAAATGGAACATTTTAGATCAATGAGGGGGAAAATAGTACAAACCCAATGCCCAAGCGCATCTACTCTCAGCAATACTCTACCTACTCTATCCATTCAATATTCACAATACTCTAGCTATTAATGGAACATAATAGGTCCATTATATAGTGAATGCCCTGTGCATGGCAAAAATGTCCGGTGCTCAGTCTCTTTTTCTCTCCCTTTCTCACACCTACCCCACCCCAACAAAATAGTGAATAATCTTTGAATTACACCTACTGGTTGTTTTGGAGGATTGAACTCTAAGTTGTACACTCTTCCACTGGCAAAGTGAATCCATCTTTGCTAAAATAAAAAATAAAAATGTAACCTTAGTATAATATTGATCATTAGTTAGAAAACTGTGTACCTTAGAAGGGCCTTACCTTAATTCTTTCAATGATTGTTTCAAATGGAACATCAAGATTGATGACTACATCTATAGTTTGATTCTTGGTTAGTTCTTCTGCTTGACTAACAGTTCTTGGGAACCCTGTGTACAATTTATGTCATGTATGTCTTACATTCTTAAGGTAAAGTAAATATAGCTATTACAAAAAGTTTGTTGAAGGTTTTGTTGTTGCATTCTGCATTTTGCATGTTGCATTCTGCATCTTGCATGTTGCTTAATAATCTTGAAATGTGTCATGTTCATATGTAAATAATGTCATCACATAAGAGTTCATGCCGTAGAGTGCAAACCATATATATCTTATAATATAGCACAAAAATTAAAATAGCACTAAATACAAATATTTCTTTTGTTTTCGATTGTTTCATTGATGTTATTTTGTACTTTATTAGTTGGTACTATTTCACAAATATATGTTTTCCATGTAGTTGACCTTTTGATCAGATTGAATAGTTCCCTTCACAGTTCCATGTGCCATCTTGAAAGCTAGCTGTGCCTTTGCATCTAAGTAAGATGAACGATGAGCTTGCAATGATTCAAAGTATGGTTACTTTTCAAGACAGTGAGGGGAACTGTGAAAGGGACTATTCACACCTCTCTAAGTGCATTTCAGACTTGGTATACGCAACATGCCAGGGGCGGCGGAAGCTGAAAAATTTTGGGGGGCACTCCAATATTTCACGGTACCTTGAAATGACCCCCCTCCCTGTTTAGCTTGATTACAAACGTGTATGTGTGATATTTCAATCAGTAACATTTTGCGCACATTAAACCACTTGCAATTGTGCTGAGAGACAAAAAAATGATGCAAGTCATGCTAGATATATCGTATATTTTTTAGATACAGAAAATTATGTAATATCAAAATAATAAATAATGGTAATCATAACCAAATCTCATGCGTTTTTTTTTTGTGTGAGGCATTATATTCTGGGGGGGCCAGGCCCCCCCAAAAAATCTAGTGGGGGGGCCAGTGCCCCCCGGCCCCCCTGCTTCCGCCGCCCCTGCATGCAACAAAACCTTCAAAAGCTCTTTTAAATAGCTGTATATGCAAAATATTCAATAATATTCAATAAATAATACAGTTCTTGGGAACCCTGTGGTTAAATCATGTTATGTATGTCGTACGCTGTTCAGATAAAAATATGCAAAATACTCAATTAACTATATATGTATTACCGTCCAATAACCAGCTGTTGGTTCTTTGCTTTAGTTCGGTAAGGACAAGATCCACCATTACTTCATCTGGAACGAGACTCCCTTGTTCAATATACCGTTTAGCTTTTTTCCCCACCTCTGTTTCATTTTGCACGTGAGATCTTAATAAGTCTCCACTGGACAAATGGCTGAGGCCAAAGTCTCGTACGATTCTTCCAGAAACTGTTCCTTTACCTGATCCTGGTGGGCCCATGATGATAGCATGCACATGACTACAACTAATACTTCCTATGTGTAATGACCTTATACATCTAAGGGAATTACTGACCACGTGAAACCGAAAAATTGAAACCTTCGAAATCATCATGCACCTGTGTGTTTGAATGCAACTTTACAGGCTTGTAACTTATGAATGCAATTCCACAGGTAGCCCAACACAATGCTTTTTATCGCTCCTACTTTTTTATTGCTCTGAGTAACTTGAATTTCCAAGTAATATTTCATAGATTTTTGCCTAAGGATGAAAGAAAACGCAAAATGTTTCGAATCCTTAAAGAAAAAAGGAACATTTTGAGAATATTAATATCAGTAATAATAGGGGCTATTTGTTTTAGTATAATACCGCTGATTATTCATCATGCTGGCTCAGGCACGTGGTTCAACAAACAAGATGGCGTCCAAAGGACAGTTAGGGTAGGTTCTATGAATAACTATTGATTGCTGTACTGTAAGCTGGTTTATACGGTAGTTGTATAAGTGTAGGGCTTAAAGAATTTCATGAAGTTTTATTATGGGGTTATAATTTTTGTAAAATAACTGTTTTGTGTATGTAGTGTTCAAGTGAAGTCAGTAAAGAATAGGAAGAGACCAGCAACTGGTAGAGAAGATAATACGCAAAGCAAGAAAACTAAACACCAATCAAAGGAACGTTACAGCTTGAAGAACAACAAGAAGAAATTTGTGAAGAATGATTCACATGTTGGCAAGAAAAAGACACCTCTCCCGAAGAAAAAAACTTTTGATAATTCTAGAAATAAAGCTGCACCTACGAAGAAGAAATCAAAACATGATGATTCCCATCCTGAAGGTACATGACGAATAGGATTCAAGATATCCAATCAACAACTACTGATAGATACATATGTATTATTTATTCCTTGACTTGTAGATGAGGAAAAACCAAATATTTGGCAGATGAAAAAGAAAGAAAGGAAAACCTACAGAAAAAAACATGATGTTCACTACAACCTGATCCACTCCATCAAACAGCATTATGAATCCCTCAGAAGGTTTGTTTATATTCAGTTTATGTTCATTACAACCTGATCCACCCCATCAAACAGCATTATGAATCCCTCAGAAGGTTTGTTTATANCCCTCAGAAGGTTTGTTTATATTCAGTTTATGTTCATTACAACCTGATCCACCCCATCAAACAGCATTATGAATCCCTCAGAAGGTTTGTTTATACTCAGTTTATGTTCACTACAACCTGATCCACCCCATCAAACAGCATTATGAATCCCTCAGGTTTGTTCAGTTTATGGGGCAAAGTTATTTATATAGGATATTTATTTTCTAGGAAAGATGTCTCTGTGACTGAAAAAGTCAAGATAATTAATGAGATATTGCAGTTGATAAATGGTCACACCCATGAGGTATTTATATGGTATAATCTTATAATCATATCTAGATTATAATATGATACTGATGAATGTTAAGAAGTAAGATGGGTCATTTTCCATGTATGTTTCAGGTGATATTCAAACATGATACAGGAAGAGTTATGCAGTGTTGTGTGAAGTATGGCAACAATGAACAGAGGAAAGCACTTTTCATGCAGTTCAAAGGTGTTGAATTATGTAGATCCATATACAGTCTTTGAATGATACTTTGTATTGCTAGACATTACTGCATACATGTCATTCCTTGTCGTTATTCAAACCACAAGTTTTTTTCCTGTATGACATAAGATGGTCAGTGTTTGACCACCATTTGCCCCATTCAGTAAAGTTCAAAAGTTTTGTTATCTATATAAACCTGTTGATCAAGTTGTATAAACAATTCACATACTGACATTCTTATTATGCAGATGATTTTGAAGCAATGATAAAAAGTAAATACTCCAAGTTTTTTGTTAAGAAGATGCTTAAATATGGGTAAGAACTATATGTAGTTCGCAGTTTGTTTTATTTTCATTGATATTGGTCAATTTAATGATTAATTGTGTAATAATCATAAATTCTATCTTTCCTAAAGGACAAAGGAACAAAGAAGTGTTATATTGAAGTGCTTTTATGGAAAAGTTAGAAAGCTAATTAAACACAAGGTCAGTAAACCAATAACAACAGGCCAACGTCCTGGCTATAGCTTTTTTTCATCTTCTAATTCCAATGTTTAAAAAAACAGGAAGCATCAGAAATTCTGGAGACTATCTATACAGATTATGCAGTAGCTGCCCAAAAGAGTTCTTTAATACAAGAGTTTTATGGACCAGAGTTCGCTCTTTTCAAGGTACGGTACTAGATAACACCACAAACTCTGCAGTTGCTTGGTTGTCAATAAATTATTTTATTGTTAGTTGCTAAGATTATGCAATACTTTATCATTTAATTAATATTCTGTTTGTAATTTAAGACAATGGACAACAGGAAGCTTGAGCAAATTATCAAAGATGAACCAGGAAAAAAAGACATCATTCTTAAGAACTTAAAGGACTCTTTGAATCCTTTAGTAGACAAGTAAGAAACATTTGAATGTTCTTATTGAGATAATGTTCTTATTGAGATAATGTTCTATTATTATTGTAATCTTCAAATGTTTTGTGTTTCCCAGATCAGTCATCACACACAACATTATTCATAGAGTGTTGTTGGAGTATCTTATGTTATCAGATGACAAGGCACAATCTGTAAGTGACTATCAAAACTGAATTGCTATAATCTGATCCTCCACTTATCCCATTATTATTGACTTCAGGAAATGATAGAAAGTATTCGTGAATATGTTGTGCTCATTCTTCACACGCACGATGGAGCTAGAGTTGCTATGCAGTGCTTGTGGAATGGAACTGCCAAGGTTTGTAATGCAAAAGTATGCAATGTGGATTCTATTTTACTCCTAATATTATTAACACTATTTAAATATATTCTGTTTACAGGATAGGAAGATCATTCTCAAGACTTTCAAGACGTACATTGCCAAAATCTGCAAGGTATTTATTTACTCATACTATGTACACGATTTGCTTTTGCAATGTCCAATATTTAAAAAAAATTCCATTTCAGGAGGAGTATGGTCACTTGGTTTTGCTTTCATTATTTGATGTTGTTGATGACACAGTCCTTGTCAAAAAGATCATTTTTCCTGTAAGTTCTGCTCGCATTTATGACTTTATTGCATCTGTGGAAACCTGCATCTTGCTTAAAAATTTCAATGTTGATTGTTCTGTATCAGGAAATGGTTGCCAGTCTCAAGGAGTTGGCTATGGATACATATGGTCGCAAAGTTTTGCTTTACTTGTTAATGCCAAGAGCACCTACACATTTCCATCCAGATGTTGTCAAGTTGCTTCAGGCAGGAGATGACAACCTACACAGGTAAACACTGTATTATACTAAGCAAGTATTTACTCTCCAGAGTAGGCCTCATAATAATCTTTTATTTTGCAGTAAGAAGGATATAGTTCAAAGAAGAAAAGAACTTGTTGATGGTATATCACCAGGATTACTGGAGCTGATATGGGATCATGGCGAAGAGCTAATGTTTGATAAAGGTGGCTGTCAACTTGTTCTTGCCATAATGCATAAGTGCTCAGGTATGAGTATTACTTTTGTTCACAATCATTTTGTAGTGTGTTTTAAGCCATTTACATCATAAGCATATATCTTTAAGGTGATTTGGTTCCAGCCATGGAAGCCATTGCCAAAGCTGCCAGTAAACCAGTAGAAACATCAACAGATGAAGAGGTAGGTTGAAGATTCACCCAACTATAGCCCACATCCCTAACCCTCTATCCTAACCAAGTATTTAATGTTCAAGCATGCTTAACAATTAGTATAAAATAGTCAGAACACATGTACAGTTGCATGATCAGTGAAGCTAACGGTTGTACTGTATGAGGTGTACTGTAACATGTCAAGGAGGTAGTTTCTTCTAAGTAGTTATTTTTGATGAACAGGGAACGTCCTGACATAACTTTACTTCCAATTTTCCTACCCTCCCTTCCTTACAGTTTAGCATATCTGGTGGCATTATGCTCCCTTTACTGCAGACTCCCATTATCCCCATAACTCTTTCACTTTACTGAAGAACATTGTATCAAAACATCACATCACATTGTTTCAGGATCACCTAGTGAAGAGTGCAAGTGGACATTTTTCTCTCAAGAAGCTTATTTTACAGGATAAAGATCATATGGACATAAACAATGAAGGTGCATAACTAGCTTCCTTGCATAGACGTGCATTTCTTTTCACCGTTAAAAATTGACTCAGGCCACTCTGTCTTTTTCAGGTCAAACATTCTTTTCTCAGCATCTCTTAGAGACTGTGGAACCAGAATCTTTGTTTGATTGGTGTAAAATTAATCGTGGAGCTTTTGTAGTGACAAGGTATGTCCAACCTCTTGTTACTTGTTATAATCACACATTTTGAATATAATAGTTTACAAGACAAGTCTGGGGTGAGAGGAGGGGTACTCCCCTATATTCGCTATACAGGTACGTACCACCAAACAGGGTATAGTTTTCAGTGATTCTACTCTGGAACAGGGTACATAAAATTGCTCTCGCTCTGGGACAGGGCATATGAAGTCACATTCTCTCCTCTGGAACGGGGTATCCATTTTCGCTATGTTGGAACAGGGTATGATTTTCAGCGATCTTGCTCTGGAACAGGGTATGAATTTCAGCGATTTTACTCTGGAACAGGGTCAGGGTTCAGTGTGCTCAGCGGCACATCCCTACCCTTAACGGGCAAGAGTCCCCACCCCCCTGGAAGACAAGCCCATCATTTAAGGCTTAATTCTGAAGCACTGGTAGATATGCTTTACAATCAATCAATCAATCAATCATTTTTTATTACTTATACTATAAATATTTACACTGAACTATTTGCTTCTCTCTTATTTTCCAGTTTACTTGAGAGCCCTGTACCAGGAGTTGCCAACAGAGTTAAGACTATTCTAAAACCAAGACTTAAAAAGTTAGAAAAATACAAAAGCAAAGGAGTAGAGATTGTCTTGAAGATATTACACAAGTAATAATTATAAAATAAAGGTCACATTTTCTAAATACATATTCAATCCATAAGCAAAGTTCTATCATGTGATATTGTGAGCACTCTAAAGTTACTTTATTTGCTGAATGTTCATTTATTACAAATCTATGATTTGCTCTTGTTAAAATGTCTTCTCATCACTTTTGGGGTATTTGAATTTAGGGACCTTTTTTCATCAGCCGGGGGAGGAAGGCGGGGG